AAAAAAAAAAAGAAAAACAAATTGGCCGATTTCAAAGAGAAATATGGGAAATTTTCGGACTGCCGGACGTTTAGTTATTTGAAGACCGTGTCCGGCTGCATGACGTTTAGTGACTTTGTTTACCATAACTCTCGCGCCCAATCGTTTGGAAATGCTTACCCTTATTGATCATTGAATAGTTTTTGTTTGATTCGCCGTAAGTGTACTAAATAATTTTTTTGTTTCATTGCAGTCTGGTAAAAGATCATGAACAAACTCAAGAATTTTCTGAATGATAAAGTTTCAAAAATATTATCCGACACAGTCGAAAGCCATAAAGAAGAATTGTTGGAGAAGGTGGACTTACCAGATGCACTCGAATCTGCACTGAATCTGCAATCTGACGATGATGAAGATGGAGAATCCAGGAATGAAAAAGCTAAAACCATTCCTCTTGTAGAAGACGACTTCCTGAGTGAAGGGAAGAGAGTAGACTTCGTTTTGGTAGCATTAAAAGGTTCTGGTAAGGACGAGGAAGAAGAAGAAGAGAATGAGAGAAAGAGAAGATGTTTTGAGAAGAATCTTCACGATAGTGGGTTGTTGCTGCAACATGTCCTGCCGACAATGCCTAACGAGGTATGGGGGAAATTTTCCTTGTGAAAATGCAAAAATATTACAAGTTTTCAATTCTAAGAAAATTATACCCTTATAGCTGCTTTACTTTGCTTGGAAAATGAATATAACTATGGCATTTTACGCTAAAAAGAACTTCTAATGGCTGGTTTTCAATCTTTCCCTAGAGATTGAACAGAGCGACCATGCTGGTATAATGGTATGATATAACAAAAGAGACTATTGACGAATCTTTTGTTAAATTCATCCAACATGTGCTGGCTGCTGTAAAAAAACATTAATTTAAACATTATCGCGATATCTTAATACTTTAATAGCGTTAAAAACTAAATATATTATTGGTAAATCATATTATATATTATATTATGATTATATCAATATATACAATAGCAATAAAATTAAATGGTCACAACCACATAAAAACGGTTTAGCAAATAACGTCCCTCGAAGGATGCGTTGTTAGAACACACAGGAAATCCTGCTTCAAAACTAAACTTTATTTCGTAAAATAACTACAACACATAAACAATTATTTTTTTCTGTTCTGTTTTTCCAGCAAGAGTGGGCGGGATATGTAGAGAGTCTTGGAGGCTCCATTTATAAGGCAGCGAAAGAAAGAAACATCAAAGCACTTGGGAGTGGTCTTCTAGAAATGTTGGGCAAAGCTACCAAACGTTTAAGAAATGTGTTTACTAAAAGGGTGGAAGAGGCGACAGGGTTTGACAACCAATTACAGATGGAGGACGATGAGGAAGAGAAAAAATCCATGGTAACGTGATTAATAATTGCAAACTAATTTGTAGATTAGACTGGATTTTTTCACCAATTGTATTGTGTGGTTTCGTTATAACTGAAGAACCCGGAGAAAAACCCTCGAGGCAAAGGAGAGAACAACACATCAAACGAACTTTCGTTGGACCGCTTACACAAAGATGGCGATGGGCATCTTTATACTGCTGAGTAGCTTTCTTACTCTGTTGAAGCGAAGAAAAATACTTATTCTTTTTATGCTTACCGTTTTCTTTTTCCAGGGACCCCAGCTGACCTACACTTTGATTCACGCTCCATTCGAAACGTTAGCCAAGTGTGCAGAAACGATGATGCTCCGAGTGCCTATACGAGAACCCGTCGAAGACACGAAACCGTCACGAAATCGTAGTCCAGTTGTCAAATCATGGAACGTGTTCAGGATTGGCAACCCTTCGGTGCGAGAGGAGAAACGTTACATAAATGCTTTCTTTAAACAAGACAAACTCGACATGTACTTGTGTAAAGACAAGGAAAGAATGTTTGACGGAGTTGACCGCAGTCGTATGGTTTTCCGACTTCTTAAATCGGCATACTTCCACACGGAGCCAGAAGACTTCGGTATTAGACGATTACTTCACGAGAACATTTACGACGACGCCTACAGCCTCCACGACGGCGATGTCGATATCTTATCGTTTGCCGACGATCCTCCGAAGAATGATCGACAAAGACTCGTACGGGATTGGGCTTCCTTTAGACGTTGGCATAAGTATCAACCGCTGAATGCTATCAAGAGTTACTTCGGGACAAGAGTAGCGATGTATTTTGCGTGGCTAGGGACATACACTATGATGTTAGTAAGCGCTTCTATCGTAGGTACAATCTGCTTTCTCGGTGGATTGATTACAATCAATGACTTCATTCCCGCACAGGATGTCTGCAACAAGAACTATAGTAAACTCTTCTACATGTGTCCGCTGTGCGATAAGAATTGCAGTTTCTGGTCATTGACGACGAGTTGCAAGTACGCGCGCTATTCCCACGCGTTTGATTATCAGGGAACAGTTTTCTTTGCTGTCTTCATGTCGTTTTGGTGTGTGGTATTTTTGGAAATTTGGAAGAGAAAACAGGTAAGTAACAGATAGTTAGCTTGTCCGCGGCTCGACTTCGTTTTACTCCGTCCTAACCAGACGAGTTAAAGTTGGTTCACACGCGTGCTAGGTAATAGTAGAAATGGAATAACTTTTTACGTTACTACTAAGGGGCTTACAGGTTTTTACAGCGTGAGGATGCAAGGTACTTGGGCCCCTTGGCCCCCTGGCTGCGCTCTTTTTCGTAGGCGTGAGGTGTTGCTCTCTGAATCCTTTTTTTTTTCTTTTTTTTTTTTTCGGTACAGATCAGTCTAGCCTATGAATGGGACATGATGCACTTTGAAGAGGATTTCGAGCCACCAAGACCAGCGTTCATCGCGACCGTCAAAGAAAAGCGTCCCAACCCAGTGACTGGTATAATGGAGCCGTACATACCACGAATGGTCAGGACAGGGCGATACGTAGTAGCAACGGTTGCTATCACTATGATGATCTTGCTGGCGCTTGCTTCTGTGTTTGGCGTGGTGTTGTACAGAGGGATCGTAATCGCGGTCATGGCAGCAAGTCCTAGTAAGAATCTACAAGGCAGTGGACGAATCTATACTTCCTTGACATCTGCACTGTTGAATTTACTGTCTATTAATGTGTTAAGCAAGGTAAAAACTTCGTTTTCTCGTCTCATCTCGTCTCGTGTCTTCTCCTTTTATCTCTTTTCCTATTTACTCCTCTCTGGTATCGTTTCATTTCGTCCCCTTTCTTTCACTTTCATTCCTCTCCTTTCCTTTTCCCCATTTACGCCTGTAAGCAAGGTGTTATTGCTTTGCTAGTTCAAAGAAGCTTCCATTTGAATTTTAAGGCTACCTTGGGCAAATAGGAATCTTTGATTTAATTAAATAGGTTATCATATATCCCTCCTTCCCGTCCCCCACGATTCTTCTTCTGCTTAATCGATTATTGGTGTATATGTTACACTTACAGCTTTACACTAAACTGGCTTTCGCGCTGACCAACTGGGAAAACCCCCGCACAAGAACAGAATACAATAACATCCTAACAGTCAAGATGTTCCTCTTCCAAGCCGTCAACATGTACTCTTCATTTTTCTACATCGCTTTCTTCAAAAGCAACTTCGTGACAGGAATCCCTGGTCACTTCCATAGAATAGCTGGAGTGAGGATGGAAGGATGTGACCCGTCGGGCTGTTTTATGGAGCTCTGTATTCAACTGGCTATTTTACTCGGTGGAAACCAGTTAAAAAGTCAAATCCACGAAATTTTAATCCCGTGAGTCTTTCCGTCTTGTTGGCGACGCGAAAAAGCTTTATATGCTGTAATAAGATTGCAAGTCCACAAAACAGTGCGCTGATGTAACAGAACTTGCTTGCGCCTCTCCATCTTTGTTGCGAGACACGATAAACCCATATATGTTGTTATAAGATTGCAAGTCCACAAAACAGTACGCTGATGTAACAGAACTTGCTTGCGCCTCTCCGTCTTATCTCGAGCATTTGTGCGTCCTATTTTGGACCTTCCGCTAGGTAATGACAGAAGTCAGCATAATAGCACGACAAATACATTTCATTTTGTTTTGCGCACATCACTGTTGCTTTGAAACAAAGGTTATACATATTCATCTTGCACGCGTTGCCGGAAAGGCATATTAAAACAAACAACGTATTTGCGCGAAAGCGTACTATCGTTTCACATCAGCTGATTCCTGTATTCTGTTTCAGTCTGCTAATTGGGTCGATCTGTTGTCCTTTTATTCTAGTACCGTGAAGCGTTTATGGAACAAGAAATCTCGAAGCAAGATGGCCGACTTGGTATCAACAGACAGCGGCTCTGCTTATCCTCAGTGGGAAAGAGATTATCTTCTATCAGAGGAACCTGATTTTAGAATGTTCGAGGAGTATCTGGAAATGGGTAAGCAGACATCACGTAACTAAAGACCTTTTTTCTTTAGATTAAATGATATCGCAAACAGAAAAAATAGGAGAAACATTCCAGTTTGAATTCAATCTCGTGTCAGGTCTGTCAACAAAATCGCTGCAATGAATTCTGAAATTATCACACATGCATACCTTCCCCCCCCCCCCCCCCAATAAAAAACATCGCAGGATGACGAGGCGTCGTATGGACTTTAGATCTGACAAGAAACTAGGGACTCTCTTTCCTATTGGTGGAATAAGAATAGAGCCATCGTTCAGCTATCATATGTGCGTGATAGAATAGGTCTTCTGTCTAGCTTATAATTCTGCAAAATTGTGCAATTTCCTACTATTCACTCTATAAAGAACCTTTTACGCTAACATGTTCTCTTCTAGTTCTTCAGTTTGGTTTTGTTACCATGTTCGTGGCCGCTTTCCCATTGGCTCCTCTGTTAGCGCTCTTCAACAACATACTGGAAATACGATCAGATGCGATCAACTTTACGGTAAACTACCGCCGACCGACTGCACAGCGGGCTCAGGATATTGGAGCGTGGTTCGATGTTCTCAGTTCTATCGCTACAGCAGCTGTTATTTTGAATTCGTTTCTTATTGCGTTTACCTCGGAGTTTATACCAAGGTGCGGTTCAAGGGGATCTATCTCTAGGTTTTCATTTAATATCGCTTGTTTCTTTTTATAAATTGATGAAATGATGTCTTCAAGGAGTAAAGGGATGGAAGAGGAGAAAGTAGTGAAGAAAGGGAAGGAGAGGCGAAGGAAGGGAGAAAAAAATAAGGATGGAGGGAAGAAAGGAAGGAAGGAAGGAAGGAAGGAAGGAAAGAAAAATAGGAAAGGAATAAAAGAGAAAGAAGAGAGCGAGATGGTAGGGAAATAAAGAAAGTGATGCAAAGGAAAGAAAGATAGCGAAACAGACGAAGAAAAAAACTAAACATTGTCAACCCATTAGGTTGACCAGCGTTTCAAACGAATAAAGTTTATCTTAATGATTTTGACATGTACTCAACTTTGCTTGCTATTGGTTAAGTGATTACTAACTTAATGATATTATATATTTCAGGGAGGTGTACAAATACGTGTTTAGTCCAGACGGTAGTTTACGGGGTTACGTGAACAACAGTCTGTCATACTTCAATGTCAAAGACCTCGAGATCCAACCTTCCGATCCATTTAGGAACCTACCCTACAACAGGACACATTGCAGGTAAAGACACTGAAATATCTTTTAAATTATGTTTAAAATATACTGAGAAAGATAGATGAGGAGCTCAGTGCTAGTGGGTTGGAAGGCAAGTCCTAGTGTGTTGGAAGGCAAGTCCTAGTGGGTTGGAAGGCAAGTCCTCAGTGCTAGTGTGTTGGAAGGCAAGYCCTAGTGTGTTGGATGGCAAGTCCTAGTGGGTTGGAAGGCAAATCTTCGCAGTGCTAGTGGGTTGGAAGGCAAGTCCTAGTGTGTTGGAAGGCAAGTCCTCAGTGCTAGTGTGTTGGAAGGCAAGTCCTAGTGTGTTGGAGGGCAAGTCCTAGTGGGTTGGAAGGCAAATCTTCGCAGTGCTAGTGGGTTGGAAGGCACGTCCTAGTGGGTTGGAAGGCAAGTCCTAGTGCTGGGGAATAAGGAATATTTTGGGAGAAGTAGATGAAGATATTTTCGAGTTTCGGTTGCGGCAAATGAGGTGGAGGGGGAAACAACTAACAACAAAAAAATTTGTTGTGTGTCAGAAACAAATTAAAGTATATCAGATTGGGTAAACACGTAATTGGCTGTGTTGTGGCGTTCAACCCTTTTCCAAATCGATTTTCGTACGATGTMAGATCATAGCCGCCATGTTGTGAAAGTAGGCCATTTATGGCGTTATTTTACTAACACTACCAAAACGCTTTACGATTTTTCTTTCTTATTCAATTTTGATTTCCCTCATGAGAAAAGTAATTAAGACAACTGCTGCTAATAAACTGAACAAAAGAAAGTGTGCAAGGTATTCTGGTAGTGGTAGTAAACGACGCCATAATGCAAGTGTTCTATTTGACAAAACGTTTTTATTGAATCTCCGTCCAACATGGCGGTAATGCCTTTTGTTATTCAAATCTCTTAGAAATGCCTACAATCACTCCGTGTCAATCGCTGTAGCATTTTTTTTTTTCCAGATTCAAAGACTATTTTTCTCCACATCCGCCTTATGATTACACTCTCCAGTACTACTATGTGTTAGCGGCTCGTCTGGCTTTTGTCGTAGTGTTTAATGGAGTTGTCTTCTTCGTCGTCAAAGTTTTAGCTTGGCTTATCCCGGATGTACCATATTTACTCGATATCAAGATAAAGAGAGAAGAATATCTGGCACGAGAGAGCCTGGTGAGGAGTGAAATGAAAGACTCCGCTGACCAACCAAACATGGCGGTTTGAAATAATGATTTAAATAAACGTTGAAGAAGAGCATTTAAGTTTAAGTTTACTAAACTAAATTAAAGAAAAATATAAGAGACAAATACAGGTAATATCAGTAAATTATAGATATGATAGGTAATTATGGTATATACACTGGGACTCTTATTCTATATGGGCAGTGAAATCAATTATTAGTTAAACTGTGTTATTAAAATGATAATAACAGTAATAGTAATAAAAACAGTTATTATTATTGTTATTAATTGAATACTTTAAAACGTAAAAATCATAAAAGAACTTAAGAAACTAATAATTTTAAGGATTTATATAAGTACGAATCTGAATATTACGTTTGAAATAGTTTGATTTTAAACCCCAAACATTAGGGTAATCGAAATATAAAATAATAGAGGTTTCGCACCATCACGTTACGGCAGCCATGTTAAGTGGCAGGAACGATACAATCGTTTTACATAAGAAAGAATTCAAATCCCGAGAGCTCACAGGGATTTTATTGTTCTGCCCGGCATCCAACCACAGTTAGCCCAAGCTGTATATTATTTGCGTGGCATATGATGGTGCAAATCCTCTATTGTCGGTCAGTATCTGTCAAAGCACTAATAGGAACCTTTGTTTGCTAGTATAACTACCACAAAAACTAAAATGACTGACGAATTTATCATATTTCAATATTTCATCAATACTTTTTACTGAAGAATACTGAAGTGCGGTGTAGTGCGCCAAGTGTGAATATAAACCCGACTTAGCCAAAGAAAGCAGACATTTCTCTGATGTACCAATCAGGTAGAAGAACGAAATTAGACATGCGCACCTCTTCACGGGAGTAACCAATAGATGGCGAAAATTTTCCCCATTCTAGTACATACTGCACCGCACGACCTCCATCCAATCCATAGCTATCCTCAACCACTACTCCTTTCAACCACTGCAAGAAGTCATCTACGAATCCTACACTCGCCATTGGATTCCAACTTSTGAGGGCTGATTGAATAGCGGGTGGACATGACATTCTAGGATTCTTCACTTGGTACGGGATCTCGCTCTGCGTGACCCGAGACACTTGCTTCAACGTCGGGCCATCCCGGATGCCGTATATGACCTGTTTCATATCCCCGGCAAACATATGATACCACCAATCACGGAGCTTATACATTGGGAACTTCCATTCATCTCGGCCCGTGTACTCGAGGCAAAGCTTGCACTCCCTGTATTCGCCCTGTTGGGCAAGTTATTTTTATATCACTATAATTAGTATTAATAACTAGTTGTATTGGCAATCATTAAAAAAAATTAAGAAGCTTTTGTTATCAAAATACTTACATTTTCAACAAAATCCACTTCAGCTCTGGTCAGCACAAGATGGCGGCCACCAATTCTGCCTCTTCTAACGCTATAGAATCCTTGTCTTCCGTCGACTTTTCGATCAGCCCGCTTGCCTTGCGATTCACAGGGCTCTGATATCAACTTTTCAAACTTTGGTCCCATGTAGCTAATCTTCTTCATTTCTTCAACTCGGTCACGACAGAACAGTTTAGGTTCTCGTGGGGGTCCTACCGCCTCGATTATGTTCTCCTTGTTACTGATGTAGATTGTACCGTTGTACTTGATAGCGTACATTTTCCATGGCTGTTTATAGCTTCCAGTGTTAAACACAGTGGCAAGAAGCAGTTTCATTGTTGCTCGAGTGAAAACAAACTCGGCATCCAATCTAGAAAATATTAGTTAATTAATAAGTGAACAATGTATTAATCAAATATCAAATACCTTATATAGAAGTTTTAATTTAATATTTGATATCTATTATCTAGAAATCTGAAATAAGTAATACCTAATTAATATTTATTATTATCTAGTAATCTTAATCAATTAATGYTTAATTAATATTTTTTACAGGGGCGGCGGAAGCTAAAATCTTTGGGGGGGCACTGAAGATTATATTTAACGCTATGTGATAATGACAATGTTTTGTTTGATTTGTTAGAGTGAAGTCATTTAACCTTGAAATCTTGAAAGCGCATTGTATAAATGCCTAATATAAGAACCTCCCATTATTATTATCATTATTATTATTACCCGATTATTATTATTATCCATTATTACTGAAATAGATATTAGACTAATACACATTAGTAGACTCTAATTCAATTGCTTTCTTTTGTGTCTATTTGACTATTGATGGTTTTCWCGGCGGCCATGTTGGAGGAACTTAACAAAAGAATTGTCGATGATTTCTTTTGTTATATCCTCCAACATGGCCGCCCTGTCTTTTGTTATTTAATTCTCTTGGGAATGGTCAAAAACCATCAATTATGAGTTGAGTAGGTTTTTTTTTTCCACGGGTAAATGCCTTTGCTCTAACTGATTCATAACCAACAAGTCAACGAGTATCAGTTATGTGTTATGTAGATGTGTTATTTATTTTCTAAATAACTGATTAAATTTTGGAGTTGGATACCGATCAAATTTAATAAATAATCATTGATTAAAACCATTTTTAATTACAATTAGTTGATTAATTACGAATAAATTAGAAAGTCAGATATCATTAGATATTTAGATTGCTTTAATAATAAATAGTATTAAGGATTCTTATTCATAAAAAATATATATTGAACGAAACTTAARATATGGGGGTTTATCGTGCTCCATAAAATTTGTTATTTTAAAATTCAAAACCACAGAGCATGGATGTTATGTCTGGCTTTTTAAGTGAAATTCTATCTTCTACTCTTATATATATCTTACTCAGAAGCGAAAGAATAGTCCTTATTCGTGGTGTGGCTCACTACGATTGAACTCTCTGTCTCCGAGTTGCACGCTGAAATTAGGGTTTTCGCTGCCGCCAGTCAAAAATATGAAAGGTACCGACTGATTAGTTTTGATTGACGGCAGCGAAAAACCAAATTTCAGCGCGCGTGCAGCTTCATTGCAATTTCAAAACGTTATCAACCCCGAAAAATCAGAGATATACCCTTAGTATTATAAAACTGGCTATCTGAAAAAACTTACTTTTTCGCTTGACCCCTGCCTTGTCTTTCACTTGATATCTYATCCTTGTTTAAAAGAATCCAAAGCAGGAAAGAATCAAGCGGTCTATCGAGATTACTATGACTTAGTTGGAGCGATGGATCGAAACCAACTGTCAGATCACTGCCGTATTTGCTATAGTAGTTAGGAATCAAACTATGCAGTTCTCTTTTGTCGTTGTTGTAGAAGTTCCCTTGAGCATCGATCGAATATGATCCTAACTCTGAGCACGAAAACTCGTGGTTGAGGGTGTTAAGGTAACTCTCAGGCGAGCGGACACTGTAATTATTGTTCTGATTGCAGTATGTCATGGTATTTAGTTAGCAAAATATTGTGCCTAGCTCTAACAACGAAATAATCAGTCAAAACGAAGCGTACTACTCAAACTGAATGTATATATATATATATATGTAAATGATTCTTGGAATTTGCTGTATATTATTATGACGTCACATGAACACTTTGGCTTTAACGCTAAGAATCATGGTCGTTGGAAAACAGCAAAAACGCAAAGAAAACTGCGAAAATTTATATTTTTAAGAACTTAGAAAAGGAATGGTGAGACCCATGAGAAATTGAATGATTCTAAAAATAGCATCAAAGAGTGCTCATGAGGGGGCGTGGGGATTTCTTCTCTTAGTTCATTTTCTCTTGCCGGACCCTTTTCAAATAAAATTGTCTTGGATGCGAGGCTAACATGGAAATACAAAAGAAATGCCTCAAATTCCATCGAGAAAAAGTGTGTTATTTCTATTTTCATGTACTCCTCGCATCCGATCCAATATTTTTTTAAAAGGGTCCAACCTATACCTAATACCTAATATAAAAGAAAATTATAGTTTAAAATAAAAATAAATAAATAAATAAATAAATAAATAAATAAATAAAAAAGAAAAAGAAAAGAAAAGAAAAAGAAAAAAAAAATTATAGTGAGATTTCTCAAGGCTTAGGGATTGAAATAACGAAAGACTCCGCGGCCATGTTGGTTGATATAACAAAAGAATTCATTGACAATTCTTTTGTTAAATTCATCCAAGATRGCGGCGCTATGACGAATGTGTCGTTCTGTTAACTTTTCTTGACTTGAAATTAATTGGAAGAACTGATACTTTGGTTAGCGTTAGTAAGGTTTGAGCAATTTACGATTTGGAGGTCATTTCATAAAATCATCGGCAAGTGTTGAGAACAAAATGTTTTCCACCTTCCTTCTCTTCAGTTTGTCCTCAGCTCTTAGGGACCGCGGAGTGTAATTCTGATTGGGGGGCTAATGCCCCTAGCACGCTTCTAAAGTAATAGCGTAGCAAATGAATCTAATGAAATCAGCATCAARACCTTTAGGACTCTTAGCTTCATGTGTAAATCTTCACATTCTTAAATCAGAGCACTGATAGGAGAGAGGGGGTAAAGTGGGCACCGTCGGCTCCCTGGGACTACATACACACACACACACACACACATACACACACACACACACACACACACACACACA